TTATTTAGAGAAATGCAAAAGCTAAGAACAGAACTTGAGATGGTGAAGGCTGACGTTTCAATAGCTAGGACTCATAGAGGAAAAATAGCAGAGAAGCTGAAATCAGTTGCCGCTATTGTCACGGTGTCGTTGTCGACCGCTGAAAGAGAGAATTCGAGGACGGTGAGATCAAGGGAAAATCAACCCAAAAAATCTTACGCGGACATGGCATCAAAAGTACCGGAAGTGTCAAAAGTGTAGAGGATGCCGACGGATGATGTTTCACGACGTCCGTCAGTAGCAAAAAAGGCTGAACTCCAAAGGGTCTTGAAAAGTCAGGATTGAGAGTCAGACCACCACCCCCATATAAAATGTATTTGGGTGGTCTTGCTAAGGATATTTCAACCGAGGATGTTTCAAATTATCTGAAAATAAAGGTTAATATTACTGATACGAAAGTTGAAAGGCTGTCGACTAATAGAGAGGGGGTGAAGTCTGCATCCTTTGTCATATCCTGTAATATGTCACTAAAGGAAAAAATTAATGATCCTACCATTTGGCCAGAAGGGTGCATTATTCGTAAATTCTATGTACCAAGGGGTACCCCTTCTGGAGATACGCTAAAAAACATTTCAAATTATGATAATGATGTATTATGTTATGGTGTCCAAGATGACTCTGATCATGAGGATAGTGATGTTGATAATTATTGAAATGATAATTGAATTTGTTATTCGTATAAATAATTATTAATTATGGATATGGACAAAAATAAATAAAACATTAAGATGTAGTAAATATGATGTAATCTGTCTTCAAGAACACTGGCTATTTAAAGAGGAGTTGACAATGATTAAAAACATACATAATGAGTTTGATGCTATTGGTGTGTCCGCTATGGATGCCTCTAAAGCCTTATTTGTAGGTCGCCCCTTTGGCGGAGTAGCTATTATATATAGGAAAAAGTTTACTGAACTGGTTAGACCTATTCAATGCCATAACGATAATAGAATTATTGGAATTGAGATAGGGAAGTATAGAAGCAGGACACTTATTTTATGCGTTTATTTGCCATGGGAATGTGATGATCACTTTGTTGAATACATAGAATACCTAGGTAAACTTCAGGCTATTATTGATGATTATGATAGTAATAAGGTGATAATTGTGGGTGATTTTAATTCGGATGTCAAAAGGTGTTTTGGACAGGAACTTGTTAAGTTTTGAAGTGTATATAATTTACATTTGACCGATTGCGAATATTTAGGGTTAGACTCTGATACATTCACTTTTTTCAGTGAAGCACATAGCACAAGCAGTTGGCTAGATCATGTCATTTCCACTCTTGGAGCCCATGTTAATATTACTGATGTTACTGTTGAGTCATTCTATATGAATCCAACACACTTTTTTGCCCGACCCCCTTCAAATCGGAGCCAAAAATTTCACTGTGGGGTTATCTCAGGTAGAACCCCCAACATGCAAAATATTGGGCGATTTGAAGGGGGTCGGGCAAAAAAGCGTGTTGGATTCATATGGAACAACATTGTTTATGACGTAATCGGGTCTGACAATTTTCCGCTTCAATTCTGTTTTGAATTCTGTTTTCCGATATGTCTTGTACAAACGCTAAGTATAGGCATGAAATTGATAGGTTGTATACAAATATTGTTAATGCATTGGCCAAGTCATCTGATATTTGTTTCGGTGGTAAAGCTAAAACTACATATTTTAATATTCCTGACTGGAATGATTATGTTGAAGAATTACATGTTGTGGCTAGGGAAGCTTTTCTTATATGGTGTATGAATGGTAATTTACATTTGGCAATTTACATGATGCTATAAGAATATCGAGGTGCAAATTGAAACAGGCTCTTAAGTGGTGTAAACAAAGAGAATTTAAAGGCTGATAATTTAGCAAAGTCACTAGGTAAAAATGATTATAATGGTTTTTGGAAAAATGTTTAAAAAATGAATAACAGTAATTATAATTAAACCAATGTTATTGAAGAAGTGAACGGAGAAGAAAATATTTGTAATTTTTGGGCAGAGCACTACCAGAAATTGTTTAATTGCATTGATAATGAATGTGATAGCGATGATGTAAAGTCGTTTTTAAACAATAACAGCCGATCAGCTGAGCGGCCCATTGTTACTGCTCAACAGGTTAACAATTACATATTAAATATATCGTTAAAGAAACCGGCTTTGATGGCCTTTGTGGGGAGCACCTGCGGTATGCAGGTGACCGACTATGTGTACTGCTAAGCATCTGTTATAACTCAATGCTAAGTCATGGGCATATAAGTGAAAACATGACAAAGGTGGTTTTAGTTCCAATTATTAAGAGTAAGACGGGGGATGTAACTAGTAGAAATAACTATAGGCCTGTTGCTCTGGCATGTGTTAATTCTAAGGTCCTGGAGTATTTGCTCATTGATCTAGCAGGGGATACTCTTCATATTAATGATCACCAGTTTGCGTATAAAAGTGGACACTCCACTGAGACGTGTATTTTTGTATTAAAACAGGTGATTAATTACTATAATAGAAACGGAAGTCCTGTATATGCATGCTTTTTGATTCATGTAAGGCGTTTGATAGGGTAAATCATTCAACCCTGTTTTAAAAACTAATTGATAGGGGAACCATCTATGCTGTGGTACGACTTCTGTCCACATGGTACATGACTCAGAAATTTATCGTTCGGTGGGGGGAAAATTCATTTGACTTCTTAGTTTCAAATGGAGTTCGTCAAGGAGGGATAATGTCACCCCTTCTATATAGTTTATACAATGATTCTCTAAGTGAAAGATTGAAAAATTGTTTTATTGGTTGCCAGTTTGATGGTATTATTTTTAATCATTTCAGTTATGCTGATGATATTGTCTTATTGTCGCCGTCGGCAGCCGGGCTTCAAGAGTTATATAGGTAATATCGGTCACTATGTATGCGCTCCAACTCTCTGAAGAGGCGTTTTTTATATGTGTAAGGATAGTGTAAAGTGCACGTTGTTTAGAAGTTTTTGTATGAATTTTTATTGTGTAAATGTATGGTCTGACTATAAGAGTAAGTCGATAAATTCGTTAAGAGTTTGCTATAACAATGCTTTAAGGTTATTGCTTGGTAAGCCCAGGGCAAGCAGTGCAAGTGCAATGTTTGTTACGTGCAGGCTATTTTCATTTTACGAATTTGTAAGAAAATCAGTTTATTCTTTTATGAAAAGGATATATGCTTCTGAAAACAGCCTGGTTAAAGGTGTTGTCAAGTCAGTATTATATTACTCGACTATGTTTTCCAAATGGAATACACTTTTGTATTGAGCAGGTTTTATAACTGCCTACAGTCTATAATATTATTTATCTTTTCCATTTTTGTATTTGTTATGGAGGAAATTCCGAAATAAAAGTTGATTGATTGATTGATTGATATTATATATTATATATGTGTGTGCGTGTATATATATAATTTAACAGTGTTATTATCTTCCACATATTCGTCCAAAAAAAAACCAATCTTGATCCAATTGATATATCAAACTTTCGCCCCATCTCAAACTTAAGCTTTCTCTCCAAAACTCTTGAAAATATTGTTGCTAAAAGACTTTGTTCATTCTTAACCGAGTTTGATAATAATAATAATAATAATAATAATAATAATAATAATAATAATAATAATAATAATGATAATAATAATAATAATAATAATAATAGTGTAGTTTTATATATCGCTTGATAATGTCCAATCCGCATACCGCCACGACTATAGCGTAGAAACTGCTATAAATAAAGTTCTCAATTACCTTTTGTGGCGTATGAATCAAGGTAACCTCCATATTAGTACTGTTAGATCTATCTGCGGCCTTCGATACCGTCGAACACACCATTCTGGCTTCAAAAAATATTCGGTATTAATGGTGCAGCACTTGAATGGTTAAAATCGTACTTGAGCCAGAGAAGATGTTTAGTTGATGATAAAACTTCAGCAGAAACTGCCCTATATTATTCTCACTGTATGTCACACCAATCGGAAAAATAATATATAATCACGGCTTACATTATCATTGCTACGCTGACGATACTCAGATTTACTCTCATTCAGAACCCAACCAAACAGACTTTGATCGAACTAAATCAAAAATCCAATCTTGCCTTTCTGACATTCATGCCTGGTTAAATACTAATCTATTAAAATTAAATAAAAAGAAAACAGAATAAATGGTAATCGGATCAAAACAACAGCTGGCAAAAGTTAACGCTGGTCTATTTAAGTAGGAGACTCACTAATTGAGCCCTCCGAATTTTGCCGTAACCTAGGTATTGTATTTGACAACAATCTTTCTATGGAAGAACACATAAACTCTATGTCGATCTGCTTACCTCTCTTTATATAACATCGGTCGCATCAAAAAAACACATTAATATGCACACTGCTGAAATAATAATACATTCATTTGTTACTTCAACTTGACAACTGCAATTCTTTTTTTCTGACCTCAAAAAAGCACAAATTAAAAAATTCCAAAGAATCTAAAACACTTCTGCAAGAATGATTACACTCACTAAAAAAAACAATGCCATATCACACCTGTACTTAATCTACACTGGTTACCCCTTGAAATAAGAATTACATACAAAATGGGCTTACTCGTCTATAAAATTCTTAATGACTCAGCCCCCACTCATCTCATTGAACTAATATCACTCTATGTTCCATCCCGCTCTAATCTGCGTTCGGTAAACCAACTTCGTTGAACCTAGATTTAGAAGCTCCTGGGTTGAGAGATCATTCATAGTCGCTGCGGCCAGAGTCTGGAATTCCATTCCAGATCAAGGCTTCATCCTCCACACACGAATTTAAAACTATTCTTAAAACCTTCTTATTTGAAACTTACTTTACATATTTTCCTTACTTTTTACACTTACCTTGCTAGGGTCAGCTTCGCTGCCTCGGTGATGCACGGTAGGGGAGCCTGAGGCACAGGCCAAAGGTGGAAACTATTGGAGCCCAGCATACCACCTTGTGTAGAGTATCTGTGAATACATGGCTACATAGAGAGAGTGACGATGGCCTAAGTATGGCTCATGTAATTTAATTGTTTCTGGTTCTTAAACTTCTTTTTTTTTTGTCTGTCATTTTTTTGACTTCTTAATGTGGAGGGGCGCCATGAGCGTTTTCTTTAAACGGATACCGGCGCTTTAAAAGTTTTCATTATTATTATTTTATATAT